TCCTCATTCTTGAAAGATACTGCATTGATCTTCTGGCCACGTGCAGTAACACATGCCTGCAATCCCAGGTCATCTGAGAAGCTGAGACAGGAAGGGAGTAAATTCTAGGCCAGCCTGGGAGACACACTGAGACTACCTCAAAAAAAAAAAAAAGTGTGCGTCTGTGGTTGGGGGTTGGGTTCAATCCTTAGTGCCACGAGACAGCAAAAACAAAAATTCTGTGTAGTTTTAATTCACGTCTCTGTATAAGTGAGGATGGGTATACGTTCCTGCCTGCAGCCATTTATATTTCTTTGGTAAATTTTATGTTCATATTCTGGGCTCATAATTCTATTGAGTCTTTAGTTTTTGTGTGTATGGTGCTGGGGACTGAATTTGGGGCCTTGCACATGTCAGGCAAGCCAAGTGCCCTACCTTGAGCCACACTCTAGCCCACTGGTTTTTTGTGAGACTTCATCTTGCTATGTAGTCCTGGCTACCCTTGAACTTGCAAGTTAGCCCAGGCTGGCCTCAAACTCATGATCCTCCTGCCTCAGCCTCTGGTGTGATGAGATTACAGGCACATGCCACCATGCCCAGGTATAGTAGCCTTTTAGACATCAGAGTAGTTCTTTTTCTAAATAAGAGTTGTACAAAAATTTCAAAGCTTGCCATGTTTTTTTGTTTGTTTGTTTTCATTTTTTGAGACAGGGTCTCGTGATATAATTCAGGCTGGCCTTAAACTCACTATGTAGCTCAGGCTGGCCTCAAACTTGCAGTGATACTCCTGCCTCAGTCTTGCAAGTGCTAGGACTACAGGCATGCATCACCATGCCGAGCAAGTTTGCCATGTTTTAAATGTTGCTAGCTATGTGTGGTGGCGCACACCTGTAATCCCAGCACTCGGGAGGCTGAGGCAGGAGTATCTCTGTGAGTTTGAGACCAGCCTGGGCTACATAGTGAGTTCCAGGGCAGCCTCAACTACATAGTGAGACCCTGTCTCAAACAAAACAAAACAAAACAAAACAAAATGTTGCTTATAGCAGTTTTGTTTTGTTTTATTTATTTACTTTTGAGTGCTAGGGATCAATCCTAGGGTCTTACACATGCTAGGCAAGCACTCTACACTAAGCTACATCCCTAGCCCTCCATTTTTTTTTTTTTTTTTTTTTTTTTTTTTTTTTAGTCTCACCTTGTAGGTCAGGCTGGCCTTGAACTCACTGTGTAGCCCAGGCTGGCCTCAAATTTGTGGCAATCCTCCTTCCTCACCCTCCCAAATGCTGGGATTACAGGCATGACACCACACCTGGCTTGCCTTCAGTTTTTATTAATGATAAACTTCTAACTTTAAAACCTCAAACATCCTTATCAAACTACTTAGTTTACCCTAGCCATAGCATGAAAGCACCTTTTAGGTAACAATAGGAAACTTATTACCTCATCTTGAGGAATGACAACTTGAACAAGTCCATGGCAGTCTCTCAGGACTATGAAGATGTTCTGCCTGATTAGTGAAGGAAGAATAACATTTTAGGATAAAACCTTCGAGCCCAAAATTTAAGCAGACAAAACCAGCAAGTAACAAACAAAAAACACTTGCAATTTCTCACGTTTCTTTTCTATGAATAATGATAAACTTTCATTAGTGCCATTCATGTAATTGTTATTTATGTTGCCTACTGATGTAAAAAAAAATTTCTCAATTTGTGTTTATTGGTGTTTATATGGCTTACTAATCTACAGATAGCTTACTAACAAAAAAGCATATTTAAAAATTTTAAAAACAATTTTCACCTGGCAGGGTGGTCTACGCTTGTAACATCAGCTCTCAGGAGACTGAGGAGGGAGGACCACTTGAGATCATAAGTTTGAGACTAACCTGAGCAACACAGTGAGATTCCATCTCAAAAGAAAAACTGAAATAGAAATCCTCAAAGTGTTCACTGGCTTAAGTCCTCATAAAAAATTTTCATTAAATTTGAAAACTTTCATAAACAAAATCCAAAGATAATATTTTAGGATATTAGAGACACCTGATTACTGGGCAAAGTGGCACAGGATTGTAATCCCAAGCTACTCAGGAGGGTGAGACAGGAAGATACCAAGTTTGAGGCCAGCCTAGGCAATTTACAGAGACCCTGTCTCAAAATAAAAATTTTAAAAGGGCTGGGAATATATCTTAGCTCAATCCCCACTACTGCAAAACAAAGCCAAAAAGAAACAACTGTTTGGTAACTTTTGAAAAAAGTTATAATCCAAAATTTTCTGTAAGAGTTCCAATTTATTCTTTTTTTTTTTTTTTTTTTTAATTTTTTTTTTTTTTTTTTTTTTTTTTTGGTACTGGGGATCGAACTTGGGCCCTTGCACTTGCAAGGCAGGTGGTCCCTGGCCCAAGAGTTCCAACTTCTAATTTAACAACTCTATAATTAAAAGGTCCCAGAAATGTCAACATTTTAGAATTCAACCTACATTTCTACATTTCTGACTTTACTGCCAGAAAAAAGTACAGGATACATCCTGAGATTTTGGGCTCAGGTGATAAAGTCACCAAATTTTTATAGGGTAAATATCTACCCATTTGGGACATATGCTTTGGGAGTCACACAACCCCATGCATTTTGGATATGTCCAATGTGAATGTAATATTCAGATATGCTCTGCAATACAGAGAAAAACAACAAAAAGATGGGCTTTGACCTTCAAAAATCACTATTCATCCTATTTAGGCCTCTACTTTAATTTAGAAAAAAATAAGCTCTCTCCACTCATGCTATTTGAGCTTCACATTAGGTTTACAGGATGTTGACCCATTCCCAGTTACTGGTCATTTCAAACTTAGTAAGCCCACGGTCATTTACTCCAGCGGTTGATCAGTTTTCATTAGAAAGAAACTGACAACAGAAATTGTCACTGGTACTTACATCATTCAGATCTTTCAAAACAACAACAGAACTTGAAATTTAGTAATTTCTGTGTTTCAAAAGAGTTGAAAGACTTCTTTTCTAACAGGTTAAACTTCAGTAAAGGTTAGGCTGGGGATTTTTCTCAGTGGCATTGCACCTGCCTTGCGAGTGCAAGGTCCTGAGTTCGATTCCCAGTACCAGAGGGGGAAAAAAAACTAGTAACGGTTTAGAATGGCTTGGGGAAAAAAAACCACTGGGCATTCTTTTTTTTTGAGACAGGGTCTTGCTGTATATTCTAGGTTGGCCTTGAACTCACTACGTAGTCTAGGCTGACCAAGAATTTGCAGTGACCCTCCAGCCTCAGCCTCCCAAGTGCTGGGATTACAGGCATACACCACCACACCTGGCATCAGACATTCTATGTGCCTCAATTTACCTTCTGTATTGAATCCATCCGCACAAGGTGACTTCTTGTCCTAAGTGAGAAGAACGCAACTCTCCACATGTGTTGGTCCGGGCAACAAAACTACTGAATTCTTAAAAAAAAAAAAGAAAAAAGGTTTAAGAGGCAAAAATAAAAATATACTACTTGCAGATTACGTAAAGATTCTCAAATCATAGTTCCTTAGGTGCTTCAGATCAATGGATAAAACAAAATAAGTCAGAGTATGTAATTTGATTAATTCCCTTTTAAATGTATCTATAGATGTATCAAGTCAAGTGAATTTAAAATTTTTGCCTAGTGTTAAGAAAACTAAATTTTTTGATCATTAGCACTTGCACTGACCTAAAATCTGAATTGCCCAATTCTAAGTATTACACATTCTTTGTCAAATGAAATATGAGTAACTGTTTTTCGCTTTAGTAGAAATTCAGTGCCTAACAGCTACGTACGTGTTCACTGGACAATTATGAAAGTGTGAAAAGATTTTTTTAGGCTTTCTATTAGTATCAACTAACCTATGTGGTTACCTTTTTGTGATCTTTTTCAAAATTTAAGGAAAAAACTGCACTGTAAGGAAATTAAGAGTGTGAATGATCTCTTCTATGCATAACACTATCCCGCTAAGGCTGGGATAAAACGACTGTGGAGAGCAGGTGGAAGCTCTTCCCTTTTTTCACCTGGAATTTTCCTCTGTGAACTCAGCACTAGATTTCTGGAGAGAGAAATCCAGAGGGGCTGAGTGGTCCTTCCGATGGGCCTGGATAAAGCCCCGCACAGGTGACTTAACCAAGAAGAGAGGTACATATTGAAAGCCCAGGACGGCACGATACAGTCACGAATCCTTCGCTGCTGGTGATGGGACAGTGGTCAAAGCTCAGTTTCGGCCAATACAAAGAAATCCCTTAAAATTCTATCTCCCTCTCTCTATTCCAATATTTAAGTCTTTCTCCGCGAAACATGAGTATACGTGTCTACAAACGATAAATCTTCGAAATCTTTCGGGCCCTTCAATACAGCAGTTCCGACTTCTATTAAACAAGGCTGCGGCAAAAGTGAGAAGAACGATCCCACACGGCAGCGCCAGGCGCGAGCCAAGATCACAGAGATGCAGCAGAGGCCGGTCACCAGGCGCACGCTCTTCCCTTCTTTCCTCGCTTTCTTCACTCTACTGCCAGAACCAGAAACCAGAGACAGTCTCACGTTTCAAATCTCCTAGACCCAGCGGTCAAAGAGAAGCTCTTTGACAGAGCGAAGCGAATGTCCAAAATAATTTGTGGGCCGGAACGGACTCGCCGATCGCTTTCCTCTCGCTTCATCTGAGGCCTTACAATTACGCTAAAGGCGTTCGACCAATCAAGTGGGATGTGCTTCTGCCATGCTTACTACGGGCGGAAGCGTCGCACTGGTACAAAACTGTAGGGGAACCGGCGCAATTGGCGGCCTTGTCCATAACGATTAAGACGCTCGGCCTTGCCCTCAGTTAAAATGGCGAGCTCAATTGCTTCAGAGACAAGAAATTGGCGGGACCTCTGGTAGGCTTTCTGCGTCGAGCCGCAGAGCGTGTCGGGAAATAGTTTTAAACTGGAGGGCGGTGACGGCCGGGCCGCGGGTTTCTCAGCCGCGGGATTTCAATTGTGTTCTTCAGTTCAGGTAGGCTCAGTCAGAGTGGTTAACACGCATTGTCTTATGCTGATTCCCTCGCGGACAGAAACTGGCTCTGCAAGAGTGAGGGCCGCGAAGCTGGGCGGCCAGGTAAGCGGAAATGTCCCTTCGGGTAGAAGTCGTGGGCGTCGCCCGGGTGAACTCACTTCTGGAGCGGGAGGGAGCTGGGGACGGCCTGAGGTTACTCCGGGCTCTCGCTTAGCTGTCATTTTGGTGGCTCTTTTTGTCTGTTTTTCTTCAGGGTATTTCAGTATAGACATAGTTTTGGAGCCGGACTTGAAGGATTATTCATGAATCCGGAATGGGTGACAGAGTCACCACGGCATTTTATTGGTAAGATGCTTTGTATAGATCCAAGACTGGCTGTAAACTTTGCGTTTTGCCATGTTGTGTGGCACTTATCTTTATAGTACTTGTTTGTGTGACTTGGTTGGCACTGGAGCAGTTGGACTCAGGTTTTGTGGCGATGTAGAAAGTGATTACATTAGGGTTTCTTTTTTCACGGACTAACCAAAAGAGAAATAAGGGTGTTTGTTTGTTTGTTTTTTGGTACTGTGGATTGAACTCGGGTCCTTGCACTTGCGAGGCAGGCGCTGGAACCACTAAGCTAAATCCCCAGCCCAAGAGTGTTTTTTTGTTTGTTTGTTTGTTTGTGTTTTGCTCTTTTGAGACAGGTCCTAGCTATGTAGTCCGCATCTGCCTTGAACCCTGTGTAGCTCAGGCTGGACTCCAACTGGTGGAGATCCTCCTAAGTGTTGGGATTTCAGGCATGAGCCATTACACTTGGCTACAATTCAAGTTTTTTTTTGTTCTGTTCTGACAGTTCAAGCTGCTCTTTTAACTCACTATGTAGCCCAGGCTGGCCTCAAACTGACTGATCCTCCTGCTTCAGCCTCCTGAGTGTTGAGATTACAGGTTTGTGCCACCATGCCTGGCTCACAACTGTATATCGGAACCACTGAGCTAAATCCCTGGCTCACAACTGTGTTTTAATTGTGTATTATGAACAAACTATAAGTGCAAGAGGAATTGAACAGAGAGGTAGCTCTATGGATCTCAGAAAGCTTCCCCTGAGGAGATGAAACCTGCTAAAATGATTAACACGCCTGTCTTTTTTTTTTTTTTTTTTTTTTTTGGGGAGAAATGGTCAACTTTGTTTACACCTCATTAAGAGGAGTTGACCCAGCCTGCAAATTTAAAATGTCAAATTGATACTTAATTTTCTCCTGAAAGGTCTATATTTTTCCAGGAATTGCTGTAGGTTTTAGATTAACACTAGTCTCTTAGGAAAAAATTAATTTTACAAGCAAGGATCACTGAACATACATATCAAAGAACTCATGATGAGGTGAAAGAGTCCAATTTAACTTTGAAGTTGGTTGATTGGACTTGTCTTTGGTATGGGGATTTGAACTCAGGACCTTGCATTTGCGAGGCAAGCAGCAGCACCACTGAGCTAAATCCCTGGCCCTAATCCTTTGTCTTCCTGTCTATACACTGGGGAATGCAAAAACCAATCTAATGGGTTGTTTGAGGATTGAGACAGTATTTGTTAAGAGGTTAGAAGAGTACCTGGAACATGATAAATGTTCAGTAAATCTTAGCAATTATTGTCCCAAATAAACTTGGAAGAAGCAGTCTGTGTAAATGGAATTGGTTAAAATTCCCTTTTAAATAATATTTTTAAAGCTGGAATGCTTTAAAGTAGCTGCAATTTAAATTGTGGCTGAGAACAAAGGGAGGTAGTGGCAGGAAGATGCTGGCATTTGGTGTAAATTACAATCAAGAAGGGATCTTTTCTCAGAATTAAGGTAGAAGCGATAGCTCAGATAAGGACACCATTGCTGCTTTGAACAAAAAGAAGAGTTTTCTAGGAGTCAAAATAAGTGAATCTTTCTATCAAACACAAAGACTTCTCTGATGAGTCCAAGGGTTGCTTTAAAAATAAAGAGGCCACCAAGGAGTGGAGTAAGAAAGACTATGACAGGGATAAAACTTGAGAGCAGCACTTCCAGAGATAGCAGTAGCACCAGGCTTTGGTCAGCTTAATTTACAGTCGGGGCTCCAGCCCCAGCACAGGCCTGGATAGCAGCTTCAGCTTTCTTCCTGTGTCAAACACTCAAAATTCTAGCTCATGCTGCAGCTCCTCTGGCCTTCTGAGTCCTTCTTGATGCAGATATGACAAGAGATTCTTCACCCTCCTAACGAGATATAGAGGAAAAACCCTAGGCCCACCAAAGTGTACAGTGGGAGGCTCACCAGGAATGTGACATATCATGAAGATATTTTACACCTATGGGAAAGCGTAAATGATTGACATGTCTATTGAAAGGATGCGTCCCTATCTATCTAAAAGCTGCACATATTTGGAGTTTGAGAATCTAGATGAAGCTAGGAAGGCACTGAAGCACAAGGAGAACGAATTAGCAGGAGATCACTGTTATCCCTAAGCCTAGGTGAACAACCCCCACCCCAGGTGATTCAGCCCTTCTAGAATCTGCCTCTACTTCCATTGTGGCACATCACCCCCACAGATGAGGAGAGATCATGTTCCCAGGTGCAAGTCCCTCATGCTGCTGGTACTGCTTTCCAGACCACCATGACTGCAGGAGCCTCTCCAGCTCCAGTTCTGACTCCTGATAGGCAGGAGCACTGAAACTCGCAAACCTGTGACTTATGTTCCACCCAGCTCAGTTTTGTCACTTTTCTACCTGAAGAAGCATTGGTGGGAAGGAAATCCCATGTTCAGGTGTGAAAGCAGCTTGAAAGGCAGCAACTGAGACATTTTCTCTGTAGGCTAGGTTCTCTTGACTACAGAAGTATTACTGATTTGAGGTTGTGCCTATAAAAGTGTCTTCCAGTTTCCTGGCTAGAAAATCCATTTCTGGTTCCTGAGAGTGTCTGTTAAATTGCAAAGCCACTACCCAGCAGAAGAATTGAGGATTTATCTTGTTACTTTAAAAGTTTTTGCATAGGTAATATCAATAAAGTGCCATTTGTATTTATTATATTTTTTGGTTTTTTGAGACAGGGTCTCACTATGTAGTTGAGACTGACCTGGAACTCACTATGTAGCCCAGGCTGGTCTCGAACTCCTGCCTCAGCCTCCCAAGTGCTGGGATTACAGGCATGCGCCACCACGCCCAGCTCTAAAGTGCCATTTTTTAGAAGAACAGTTTACTCTTAGATACAGATCTCTCAGTTGTAGTAATAAAAGTGTTGCCAAAGAAGTAGCTTTGAGAATGGGTGCAGGAATATTGAAGGAAAAAAAATCAATAGAATGTGCTTATGACTACATGTTAAAGAATGAAAGTGAGGACTATGTAAATGTATTTAACTTAGAAAATTGATAGGACTTTGAAAATGGACCAACTAGTTTTTGGAAGGATGGGACAAAGGAGTTGAATATAATTTTTTTGAAGGTTTTTCTATTTATTACAAAATTTGTTACACAAATACCACAGCTGACCAGAAGGTCTAAAAACAGCCTAGACCCTTCCAACCCTCTCCTGCCTGTGGTTAAGAGCAGAACCTCAGTCTTCTTTGCACAGAGGGACCCAGCCTTGGAAGCACTGCCTGCCCCTGGGATGGTTCCAAGTCTTGGGGGTCCATCATCAAAGAGGGACCGGATGCATGTGAACTCTCCCTCAAAGCAGCCCTTGGTCACAGCTGCTGTTGGTGGGCAGCAGCTTTACATCTCACAGTTCCCATGTTCCCACCACACAAGTCAAATCAAGGTTGGAAATAAAAGGAAGAAGCTGGGTTTGGTGACAGCCTGTAATCCCAGCATTTGGGAGACCGAGACAGAAAGATCACTGCAAGTCCAAGGCCAGCCTGGGCTGCATAGTAAGTTTAAGGCCATTGAAACCCGGTCAAAACAATAAAAGGAAAAGATGCAGAAGGCTGGAAAAGAGTGGGGGTGGGGGAGCTCATGCTGGATTGGGGAAGGACAGTGGCTTCTGAGATGCTGGTAATTTTTTGACTTGGATGATATTAAACATTATCTTTATATGTATGTTATATGTGTTTTGTGTGCATGATGTATCTTTTTTAATGAAAAAAGCAAAACCAGAAAAACAAGAGGCTAAAATGTTAGATAAAGAGGCTAAGAATGGAGACAAAAAGAAAATTAAAGAGAAGATGAAGTCAGCAGAAGTGGAAGATGATGGAAGATGCTGAGTCTTGGACGGGGTAATACTGGCCTCAATTCCTCCTCTTCTGCCTGGATTCTGGTTCTTCTAGTTACTGGAGCACAACCAGCATTGCCAGTATTGAGAAACTTGCCACCATCAGGGATGCCAGGACATCAGTCGTGGGAACTGCAGTTCCTAATGCAAGCATTTTAGAGAAGTGTCCCAGGGCAAGGAAGGTCAGCAAATGATGTGATAGACCCTCTTGTTACAGATAACAGTGGTGCAGAAGCAGCTAATCACTGATGAGAGCGTCGGATCCCAAGAGTCTGAGCTTCAGGCCATTCACAAGGTTTGGCTTGCCAGCATGGAGCTTTTCATAAAGAAAGGAGAGGGCTGGGAAGCTTGGGAGCATGTTCCCCATGGCTCTGACAGACACCGAGACCAGCCAGCTTTGTAACACCATCAGGAATGGCCTATGATGCCCCAGGCCTCACAGGGTATTGTGCCTGAAAACTGGGCCCCCAGCACGGCAGCAGCAACAAACAAGCTCTCCCAGGACAGCTGCAGCCCCAGGTCTGAATTTAATTTTGAACGTACTCTGTTTGAGGTACCTAAAATGGCAGTAACCAACGAGAAATATAAATTTGGTAGAAAAAGCAATGAAGGGGAAGGAAAGAAAGAATTCCTTTGTGGTGAAGAGAGGAATCTGTGAAATTGTTAGCATGAGTTAAAATTTTAGTGCTTCGAATTCTCTTGTTTTGTTTTAGAAAACAACAACAAAATAGATTTTCTTTCTTTCTTTCTTTCTTTCTTTCTTTCTTTCTTTCTTTCTTTCTTTCTTTCTTTTTGTATTGTAGACTATGGATCCTTATAATGCATCAGAATCAACTCCTAGACAAAGCGCAACCTCAGGTCTTAAAGATTACTTTATAGGAGCCACCCCACTGCAGAGACGATTGGAATCAGTCAGGAAGCAGGTTTCAGTTCTCCCAACCCCATCTCGAAGGAAGATTCCTCAGTGTTCACAATTGCAGGTATGCTTTGTGTTTCTTCAGGTCAGTGAAAAATGAGAATATCTGAAACTTCAGTTTCCATTACTGTTTATGTGTATTTTAACCTCTCAGCTAACAAATTGAGAAAAAGATAAATAATTTTATGCCATCAGACTACATGTTTAGTATCTTGTAATTTTCTTTGATCTGGATCCTCTGCACATTATTTCTTTGTCTTTTATAATAGTTACAGTTTTGAAGAATTCATTTTCCTCCTCTCCCCATTTTATTTATTTTTTTAATCTTTTTTTTATTAGCACATGGTTGCAGTAGATGCATTTCAGTCATTTTGGGGAGTTGGGTACATGTACCTGATACAATTTACTTTTTTTTTTTAATCCCTGTTCCTTTTTCTTCCCCTTTTGTCTTCTACTTTTCCTTTCCCCATTTTCATTCTTCCTGATATTATTAATCTTAGTGCGTGTTTATGGCATACAATGTTTCCATTCATTGAGGTTATTAGATTCTGGTACATGGCATATCTGTATTCTTATTTCTACCCCTGCTCCCCCTTCCTCCCCTGCTCCCAGGAGATCCATGTCCTTGTCTCCTCTCTATCCTCTATTAATCCCTTTGTGCTTTGCTTTACTCAAATAAAAGATAAGGTATTTAAGCCTGTATGTCCAATTTGTTTCACTCAACATTATATTTTCCAGGTGCATCCATTTTCCTACAATTGTCTCAAATTTGTCCTTCTTTACAGTCAAACAGCATTCTATTATATATAGATGACACATTTTCTTTATCCAGTCATCTGCTGATAGGTATACAGGCTGCTTCCAGGATTTAGCTGTTATGAATTTTGCTGCTATAAACATTGGTATTCATTATCACTGTAGTATGTCTTAAGCTCTTTGGGGAAAATACCTGGATATTCTCCTTTGTGTTTCTCTGATGTTTCCTCATTTGAGTTACATATTCTTGGTTAGGAGACTACATAAGTGTTGTGTCCTGTTACCTTCATCATAGCTGTTTTTTCTTGTCATTATTGTATGCATAGAGCTGCTTGGGATAGGAGACAAATTGCTTCTTTGTGACAGTTTCTTAAATTACTAGTGCTGATAATGAAAATGATAATTCTTAACAAGAAAACAAAGTTTGCTTTTATTTTTTCCTGTTTTTTTGAGACAGGGTCTCACTATGTAATTCATGCATGCTGGCTTTGAACTCACTGTGTAGTCCACACTAGCCTTGAACTGGTGGCTGTCCTCTTGCCTCAGCCTCTTAGGTGCTGCCATTATAGGCGTGTACTACCTCGCTCAGCTTAGAAAACAAATTTTTTTCAAAACAAATTTTATATAAATATTAGAATGTCCCAGTTCAGTGCTTCCTCATCCTTATAATAATTTTGCTGTATATTTTGATAATTATAAGAAAAACATGTATAACTGTTTCAGTGAAGGCTCTAGCTAGGACATTTTTTCTCAAGTAGACAACGGTAGTGAAAGCCCAAAAGATAGTTGAAGCTGTATTTTTTTGTAAGTGATTTTGATGGCAGTAATTTAGCACATTTTGGTACTGGGGATCGAACTTAGGACCTTGCACTTGTGAGGCAAGTTTGGTGCTACTGAACTATATCCCTGACTTTCAAGTATCTTTTATTTAATCTATTGAATTAAGCATTGTAGATTTGTTGCCAAATAGTTTTTTGTTTTGTTTTGTGACAGTACTGGGAATTTGAGCCCAGGGCAACATCTCCAGCTCTTTTTATTTTTTTATTTTAAGATAGCATCTTACTAAGTTGGCCAGCCTGGTTTTGAACTTGTGTCCTGTTTTAGCCTCCCAAGTAGCTGGTGTTAGAGGAGTGTGCCACCATGGCCAGTGCTGCCAAACTTTAAATTAGGTACTTCAGAAAGTTAGTACTTTCAAAACCTATAAGTGGAAGTTTCTTAAAGTAGAACGTAAGTGTTTATCAATTGTTTTGAAAACCTATTCTTTTTTTTTTTTTGGTACTGGGGATTGAACTCTGGTCCTTGTACTTGCAAGGCAGGTGGCAGAACCACTGTGCTAAATCCCCAGCCCTGAAAACCTATTCTAGATGGCATTATCCCAAGTACTAGAGTGAAAAAAATAGACAAAATCGCACCTCATTAAGCTCATACTTTAGGGAAGACAGACAATAAAAATCAGACAAATATATATTTTGGGTGGCAGTAAGTGCTGTGAAGAAAAATAAAGCAGGGTCAAGAGATACGGAATGGCAAAGCTGGAATGTGTGCAGGTGCTGCTTACTTCAGATAGGGTGGCCTCTTGGGTGATGTTTATTTAGGCAGAGACCTGAGTGAAGTAAAGGGATATTCTGTATGAATGACCAAGGGAAACGCATTCCAGAAAGGAATGTTTGGCAGATGCAGGGCCTCTTTCAAAGATCTGCAAACAGTTCCACAAACTATTTTGAGATGATCTTTGCAGTATAAAGATAAGGTACTCAGTAATAGATTTGTATCAAATAATTAAAATGCTATAGTCAGTTCTCTAGTGATTCTTTTTCTAATCGTTCTTTTTCTTTCAAAAGTTTTTGTTTTTCTGTTTTTTGCTTTTTGTTGTTTTTTTCTTCATTCATTATCTTTTGTTTCTTGTTTGTTTAGGAAGATGTTGATCCTCAGAAAGTCGCCTTCCTTCTGCATAAACAGTGGACTTTGTATAGCTTAACTCCCCTGTATAAGTTCTCCTATACTAATCTCAAAGAGTATTCAAGACTTCTGAGTGCATTTATTGCTGCTGAAAAGCAAAAAGGACTCGCTGTGGAAGTGGGAGAAGACTTCAACATCAAAGTGATTTTCTCTACTCTCCTAGGAATGAAAGGAACACAGAGGGACCCTGAAGCATTTCTCGTCCAGGTGTTGTATATAAGCAGTACTTGCTTCCTGGAGGAAAAGGACCTGCATTTTCTTGCTTTGGAAATTGTTGTGTTTGGTTTTCTTTTTTTAACTGCTTTTTTAGATTCCCACGTTAGTGATTTTGAACCTATTTTAGGTTTGTTTGACCAAGTTCGAATAATTAGATATGACCATCTTAAAAAATATTGTCCTACATGTGTAGGAAACTGTGTATGTCTGCAAGTGTGTGTGTATGTAAAATCATGTTGATTTTAGGAAACTTAGAAAATATATAAAAGGCAAAGAAAGTTAGAAATCACAGTTAAGCAGGGTGTGGTGCCACAGGCCTGTAATCCCAGCACTCTGGGGGTTGAGGCAGGAGGATCACAGTGAGTTTGAGGCCAGCCTGGACTACGTAGTTAATTCAAGACTAGCCTGAACTACGTAGAGAGACCCTGTCTTTAAAAAAAAAAATCACAGTTAAAATTTGTGTATGCATCTATTTGTTTATCAGAATCTGTGTAGTCATGTAGTCTTGAAATGGGGCTCATGCTGCCCCTACTTTTCATTATGACATTTTTATTTTTATTAGTCACTATTGTAGATAATTACTTATATTTGTAGACATATCTAATTTTATGTTTTTTACTTGGGTTTAATTTTTGGAAGCAGATTTTAGTTTAAAAAAAAGTAACATTTCAGAGTGGAATACATCATACCATGTTACTCTCAGAAATGTAATATTTTGTTTTCCTTCCTGTAAGTAATGTATAAAAGGAATGAGTATCTTTTGCTTTTAAGAAACCAGATTTATTATTTCATAATAAAATCATGAGTTTCTTCTAAGTTAACTAATCTCTTTTTTTCTCTTTCTCTTTTCTTGTGTGTGGTATTGGAACTTGAACCCATGGTCCTGGTAGTTTATATTTTTAAATTTTGAAATAGTTTTGCTAAGATCCCCAGACAGATTGATCTTGAACTTGAAATTTCCTGCCTCAGCTTCCCAAGTAGCTGGGTTTACAAGCATTGCTACTGTGCCTGCCTAAATTAATTAATTTTAATTGTTAATAAGGATATTAAGTTGTCTTTTTTTGATTGTCAAAATGTATTTATTTGTTTTTTGAAGCAAAACTTTTATCAGTACATCTTAGATATACAGAATGATAGCATTCATCATAGGGAATTTGTACCTGTACATGCTGTATCTTGCTTCTTTTTTCCCTTTCCCCCTCTTGGACCCCTCATTTACAAAAGCATTGTTTCCAGTTTTTTCTTTTGTTTTCTTTTTTTCCTTATCTCTTCCTTTCTTCCTCCCCGCTCTCTTGTTCCCCTTCTCATTTGAACATTTTCTTCTCAAGGAAATTAAATTCTCAAGCAATTGAAAAGACTAGATATATATCTCTGTGTAACTCAGGACTCAGCAAACTGGTCTATAGAGCAGATCTGATCCATTCCTTGTTTTTGTAAATAAGGTTTTGTTGGAACATAGCCTCTTTTGTTTGCTTCTGCTTTATCTATGGCTGCTTTGGGGCCACAACAGCAGAATTAAATAGCAGCAAAAGAGACCATATGGCCTGAAAAGCTCAAAATATTTACTCTCTGTCCCCTTACAGAAAAAATTTGCTGACTTTATGGATATGTTATAGTATTGGCAAAGATTTCAGGGTCTTCTAAGGTTAGGTTCCATGATATATAGGAGAAAGGCTAAATTACAGAGAATTAAACTAGCTAAAGATTTGTCTTGAACTGTTCAAGATGAACTATCCAGAGCTGGAATGATGCTAATGAAATCATTAATAATCTCAGTCCTTTTGTTTTGTCTTCTGAAATCCTTACTGCATGACTTCCATCCTAAAAGTCACCTTATGGTCTAATGTGGCTTGTGGAGCTGTAAACATTATATTCAGATTTCAGGCAGGAAGTAGAAGGAGTAGGAAGGACACACTGGGTTCCTGACACAAAGTAGATATTGCTGAGACTCAGCAACTTCTGTTTATATTCTAGTTTGAAGGGAGGCTAGAAAATTCTATGTATGCATGCATGTATATATGTATGTATTTTTGAGACAGCGTCTCACTATCTAGTTTAGCCTTGAACTCGCTGTGTAGCCCAGGCTGGCCTAGAACTCATGGTAGTCCTGCCTCGGCCTCCTGAAAGCTGGGATTACAGGTGTGTGCCACCATGCCTGGCTGAAAAGTTTTCTTTTTTAGCAGTACTTTGCCACTCAAATAAAGGAACTATTCTGTTGCAGAAGGAAAATGCATAGTGAATAGACAAGAGTCTTTGTCAAGTGAGGCAGCTAATGTCAGAGAAATTTTATAACTTGCATGTCATCAGCCAAACAAACATTTGTATGAGGATTAGCAATGATCTGTTCAAGCTGGCTGTGGTGGTACAAGCCTATAATCCCAGCTACTCAAAAGGCTGAGGAGAACTGCAAGTTCAAAGCCAGCTTGGGCAACTTAATGAGCCTCTGTCTTGAAATCAAAACAAAAAGGGGTGGGGATATAGCTTAGTGGTAGAGCATTTGCCTGGCATACACTGAGGCCACAAATCCACTCCCAGTACTGAAAAAAACAAAAAGAAACTACACTTAGTGTTTGTTTTCCAGTACTGGGGATCTAACTCAGGACCTTGCACTTGCCAGGCAGGCCTGGTGCCACTGAGCTAATCCCCGGCCTGCAAGAAATGAACCTTTGAATTACTGGTACCGTGTTCTAATGGTTTTCAAATTAAGTCTCATTTCTTGGCAAGGTTATAGACACGTAGGTCATAAAACTATAACATTTTCTGGGCTTCACAGTATTTGAGAATCTTATGTAATCTAAGGAGAAATACAGTGAAAATACTTTAAATGGTCATCTCTTAAGGGATATGAGAGACAAGATTATGATCTTAACCTTGACTTGGTCACTTTAACAAAAACTTGTATGAATATCTTGAGAATATGTTTGTTATATGGTTTACAAATGCAAAGTGTGAAGGGTTAGTAGCTAGAAATATCAAGATTCCTAAATGATCTGAATGGATTGACACAATGACCAAACTGAAAGAGCTTAAAGAATTTACTGCTTCAATTTAAGTTGAGGGAGATTTAGTTTATTAACAGCAAAAATGAGGGTGTAGAAGTAATTTATATAAAGCTGTCAACTAAAAATCAGAAAATTGTAATCTGAGATTGCACTAAGGTATGTAATCTAGGTCTTGTAATCAGACTTTTTATTTATTTATTGGTACTGGGGATTGAACTCGGGTCCCTGCGTTTGCAAGGCAGGCGGTAGAACCACTGAGCCAAATCCCCGGCCCCAGACTTTTTAAAAATAATTGTGTTCACTAATGAATGACTCCAATGCACTAGGTATTCGGAGGAGTAGGATAGTGAGAGAATATAATAGATGTCTTAGGAAGAAAGGTTGAAGAAATTGGAGATGTTGAACTTGACAGTATGAGTAATAGGGACTCTCAAATATTTGCAGGGTTTTTCCTATAGAAGAAAGGTTATATTTATTTGTTTTACAGGTCCTAAAAGGAGAGAGCAGGACCACTGGTGGCAACCATAGGGCCTAACATGAAAGAACATTTTAAGTTGATGGGAAGAGCTCTTGTAGGAAATGTCTCCATCAGTAGAAGAATTCAAGCATCTTGGGTTTGGCAACTTTTTCTAGTCACTTCTAACATTGAGGTTTTTTTTTTTAATCAGGATATTGCACCTGGTCATGCCATATAGGCGTCTCTTGTCTTGCAATTTAGTTGCACAAAGTTCTTGCCATATTTCATATATCCACTGTATACAAATGCTGGGAGAAATGTCAACTATTGTGATAAACTCTGATAATGATTAGGGAGACTATTTCCTTTGTGGTTATTGGACAAATTAAATGTCAGACTTATTTTTATTGTACTAATTAATTTTGAAAAGATATAATTTAGGAGTAAATGTACTTTTGAACCTAATGAATCTCTTTTACTTTACTTTGTAGATTCTGTCAAAATCTCAGAACAGAGAAGGTAAAGTGTTATGGACTGGTTGGTTCTGCTGTATATTTGGAGATAGTCTTCTGGAGACTGTTTCTGAAGATTTCACCTGTCTACCCTTATTCCTTGCAAATGGAGCAGAGTCTAATACAGCCATAATTGGAACTTGGTTTCAGAAAACCTTTGACTGTTATTTCAGTCCTTTAGCAATCAATGCATTTAATCTTTCCTGGATGGCTGCTATGTGGACTGCATGCAAAATGGACCATTATATGGCTACTACTGAGTTCTTTTGGTCTGTACCCTGTAGCCCTCAGAGTCTGGATATTTCTTATGCAATACATCCAGAGGATGCAAAAGCTTTGTGGGACAGTGTCCACAAAACACCTGGGGAGGTTACCCAGGAAGAAGTTGACCTGTTTATGGACTGCCTTTATTCACATTTCCACAGGCATTTCAAAATTCATTTATCAGCCACAAGACTGATTCGTGTTTCAACACCTGTAGCTTCTGCACATACCAATGGAAAAATAAAGGTTAGTTTAAACAAGCATGGTTAAATGACTTTTCTTATTGTTAGCAGGTTTTCAAAATGTATAGTGCTTTTACTCGTTACACTGTAGAAACACATGTGAATGTATGCCAATTCAAGACAGTGGAGAAACTTTATTGTGTGCTTTTAAGTCTTTAGCCTTCTAGATGCAGCTTTGTAATAGAAGGATACATATCTTGTGCTCTGATGACTTGAATAATAATATGAATTATTATTATGTAGTAAGTTTGAAACTCTCAAAATTTATTTCTTGTTAAATTTTGAGCTGGCCATGATGGCACACTTGTAATAACTACTTTGGAGGCTGAGGCAGGATTGCCATAACTTTGAGGCCAGCCTGGGCTACATAAACAGTTGAACGCCAGGGCTGGGGATTTAGCTCAGTGGTTCCACTGCCTGCCCTACAAGTGCAGGGACCTGAGTTCCATCCCCGGTACCAAAAAAAAAAAAAAAGAGTTGAAGGCCAGCTTAAACTACATATAGTGAGACCTTGTCTCAAAAAACAAAAGAATTTTCTAAATAATTTTGAAAATAACAAGAGAATTTTAGGTCAGATAAGAAAAGTATATATCCAGAAACACAGAATAAGCTGTCATTTTTATAGTTTAGTCTTTTTATTCTTCACTGGGAAAGAGATACTATTTTATTTTCTGTGAAATACTTATTGCAGGTAATAGCAGAAATAGCATTGGTTCCTAAAATATATTCATATACATAGCCACAATACATATTCAGTGAATGTTTCCTATGATCTCATTACTATGTTAGTTGAACACTTAATTCTAAAAATTGAAGTATAGTATACATATTTATGGGACACAATAATGATTTGCTATAGGTATACAGTGTCTAATGATGAAATTATGACAATTCACATTTCCGTCTCTTCAAACATCCTTGCAGTGTGTTGGAACCTGCAGATTCTTCCAGTTATTTTGAAATATATAGTAAAATATTATAGGCCATAGTTACCTTACTGTAATATAGGACATTAGTGCTGACTGCTGATATCTGACTGTATCTTGGTACCCATTATCTTACCTCTGTCCTCCCCATCTTCTCTCGGCTCATCCTAATCTCTAGTGGCCACTATTGTATTGTCTTCCTCTATGAGACGAGCTTAGTTCCCACAAACAAGTGAGACCATGACATAGCTTTGTCTTTCTGTGCCTGAAATAGCTCAGCATGTTCATGATGAGGCCATAATTTGTCTGTCTTGCTATTGGGCCGCTCTGAACACCTGTGGAACATGCATGACTGTCCCATCAGGTGGCATGGGATAGTCCCATTGGGTGGTACAAGCTATGTCTGTATCACCAATAGTTCAATCCAGCAGGAATGTGTTAATCTTTACAGCAACCTGTAGTTAGGTATTTTTATCTACATTTCAAAACAAGAAAACAGGCCAATTTTAAGTAATAGTGTAAGATAGAAGAGGAGTCAAGGATGAAGTTCACTTTTTTGTGTTGTGAGAGCACTCTACCAAACTGGAGGTCATAGTGCAATAGTAGGCTGGGAAATAATTCTGACTAAATCAACATTAAACAATGGTGGGCCGGGGATTTAGCCCAGTGGTTTTGCTGCCTGCCTTGCAAGTGCAAGGGCCCAAGATTGATCCCCAGTACCAAAAAAAAAAAACCCCAAAGCAAAAGACAAAACAATGGAAATGGGCCAGGGATTTAAGCTCAGTGGTGCCGCTGTCTGCCTCAAAATCGCAATGTCCTGAGTTCGATCCCTTGTACCAAACAAAAACAAAACAAAACAAAAAAAATGGAAATAAGTAGAATGGGAAATATAAAAATGAGAATGCATTGCGTATGGTAAGCTTCATGTACTGTCCAGAAATTACACCAATGTAACATTGATCATCTTAATATTAAATTGCTTTGTTATGCTATTCTAATTTTCAATTTCTTCTTCTATTTTTTTTTCCTCCTACAGATTCTGTGTCATAAATACCTTATTGGTGTGTTGGCATATTTGACAGAACTGGCAATTTTTCAAATTGAATGAGGCCTTGTGTGGACTCTATGTCGTGGATTATCTTCCTGTTTTCATTGGTATTTGCCTACTTGCTATGTTGAGAGGGACAGCAAGAGAAACGGGATCCATCTGTGCATCTGCCTCTTCATGGTGCCTTTGAAGTTGCTTGGATGGAAGCCAGGAAGGATCTAGAACACTGCATGTGGTCATGGTGAGCCGCAGCTGTGTGCTTAAGGACCAGTCATGATGATCTGGAGTGCCGTTCTCTAGAAAATGTTGTTAATTTTTGGTCATCTTTTTAAAGAATAAATGTTTACTAAGTTAAAGTTTTAGGTTTCAAATGAGATGTATTTAATATTGGATATTTAAATCTGCTGAGATCTTTAAAACATGTAATCACTTGTAAGTTTTTTAGCTTTGCATTGACAAATGTCTAAAGACATTTTCCTCACGTTGTTTTGCTGTAGAGAACTGGCCATCAAAGTCCCCTAAGAAGGACAATAAGGATGAACAGAGCTGTGTATGGTGAGGCATGACTGCAGTGCCAGCACTCTGGCAGGCTGAGGCAGGAACATCTCAGGTTTGAGCCCAGCAGGGTAACTTAGTGAGACCCTATCTCAAAATAAAAAAGATAAGCCCGACATGCTGGCACATGCCTGTAATCTCAGCACTCAAGGCTGAAGAAGGATTGTTCCATCTGTAGTGAGTTGAAGGCCAGCCTGAGTCACACAGTGAGACCCTGTCTCAAAAAAAACAAAAAAAGATTTTTAAAAGGGCTGAGGATGTAGTTCAGTGAGAAGGCCCTTGGGTTCATTCTGTAGTACCAGAAAAAAAATTAATAGACATCTTTTTAGCCATTAATGTGCTGCTATATTTAATAGGGTTCAATTTTTTTGCAGTGTGGAATTAAATACTTTTAAAATGAAGCAGTGTGTTTCTCAGTGTCTTAATGTCGTCTAATTAGAGTCTTAGAGTTGGGAAGTGTTAGGCTTTTTCAGTAGCTCAGGATACAAACTAACAATTATATAGGATTATTGTACATATTGTAGCATTGGAAGGCATCTGTGAACTTTTAAGGGAAGTTATCTTGCTTACTTTTTATGCTTCTAGTTTAACTGCTTGGTAAATATCTGTAAATTAAATGAATTTTAATCACTCATTTTACGGAAGAAAACTGATCAATCTCTTCTTTTCATTCACTAAGCATAGATTTTGTTTTATTTTAGAAACAGTGCTTTTAAAGATCTTGTTTGAAAGAAACTAATGGATTGTGATTCTAAAATCAAAGATTAACTTCTGGAATGGTATTATTTGAGCTATACTAGAAACAGCAGAGGTACTAAGGAAAGGGTGGGTTATGGAGCCAGACAGTACGTGTATGTATGTGTTGGGAATAAGGATGTAGTGGTGAAGGAGACAGAAAAGGGCCCTGGTCTGTGGAAATTACATTCTAGTGAAAGAAGGCAAAATAGAAATAGTTTAAGATGCGGACAAATGCTGTGAAGAAAATAAGGCGGTGCAACATGAGACACTGACTGGTCCTGCTCCGTGCAGGGTAAGAAAGGCTCCAGGCGGGTGACATCTGGGCTGCTCCAGCCCTGTGCAGACCTGTGGAAGGGTGTTGGAGGTTCTTGAAACCTGAGGAGACGCTTGGGAAAGGAAAGAGCTTGGCTAATGTGAGGAACGGAGCAGACTGTGGCTGTAGTGTAGTGACAGTGCACGGAGCAGTGAGGTGAAACCAGTGAGGCTGTGCAGTGGTCTTCTGTGGTATTCCACACCCAGTTTTTGTCTGGGGTGCCTGGCTGCCCAAAATAAAGGTGACATTTTCCAGCCTTCTGTTTAGGTAGGGACAGTCCTATCAAGAAATAACCCACGGGATGTGAATAGACTAAGCATCTTAAAAAAACAGCTGACAACTGGGTGTAGTGGTGTACAGGTATAGTCCCAGCTGTGTCAGGAGGGTTGCAAGTTCAAGGCAAGCCTGGACTACATTGCAAGCCTCAAAAAACAACAGCTGGAGTATGTACACCTTGTGACCTCTCCCCTTTTGTATTGAGGATTGAAGTCGAACTCAATTACTTTCCTATATCCAGCCTACCGGATCCCCTTTTTTAAAAAACTTGAGATAGAGTCTCAGTTGCCCAGGGTGACCTTGAACTTGGCCACAGCCTTGGGAGTAGCTGGGATGACAGCCATGCACCACTGTGCCTACCTTCCTTGCCCCTTCCCTTACTCACCTCTGCCCAACTTTGCTGCCTGTAACGTTAATGTAATGATGCATACTGTAGTGCTCAGTCAGGTCATGGGGACGGAGAGCATGGCCTTGAGCTCGTGTTCTGAAGAATTTTTGAAGCTGAATGCCATGCCAGGGTTGGATAGTCTTCCACCGGACTTCTTGGTTTTAGAAGTAAACTTCTGTCTCATTAAAACTATTGTTAGTTTGGATCTCTGTTGCTTATAGCTAAACCTAATTCTAACTTGCTACCAAGGCAAGATTCTCATGCTCTTAAATTGTTTGACTTTTTGTCTTTTGAGATAAGGTCTCACTGTGTTGTTCAGGCTGACCTTGAACTCACTGTAGCCCAGGCTGGCCTTGAACTTAGGGCAATCCTCCTGCCTCAGCCTCTCAAGTGCTGGGATTACAGGTATGCACTATTATGCTGGGTTTAGCTGGGAATTTCAATCAGTTGATCAATCTGGGAAGTGTTATTATATTATCTTCCACTCTAAACATGAACTGTCTTTCCATTCCTTTAAATCTTTAATTTCTTTCAGCAACATTTTGTAGCTTTCCATATAAAAATACTGCACTTTTTTGGTTAAATTCCTATGATTCTTTTTGATAATATTGACAGTGGAATTTTCTTTGTTTCTTTTTCACATTGTTTATATATAGAAACGATTCATTTTGAATGTTGCTCTTGTATCCTGTGACTTTCTGAAGTTGTTTTTTCCACTGAATTCCTTAGAATTTCCTGTATACAAAGTTCACGTCCTCTGGATAAAGACAGTTTTTTGTCTTAATTTCCTGTGCAGAGGCAGCACCCACAGGTGGCCACTTTTTTTTTTTTTTTTGGTACTGGGAATTGAACTCTGTACCTTGCGCTTGTCAAGGAGGCGGTGGCACCACTGAGCTAAATCCCCTGCCCTTTTGTCTTAATTTCCAATCATTTATGATTTGAAAACCTAAATAGGAAGAAAGGGGCTAAAGGTGTAGGGAAAGTGGGAAGGGTAGGGGAAAGGGAATAAGGGAAAAGAAAAAATATGAGAAAATGAAGAAATGGAAATGAAGTGTTTGTAAATGGGGAGGAGAAGAGGGGGTGAAGGGAGGGCAGGGACAAGGGGAAAAAATGAGAACCGAGACCTGTCGTGTAAAGGTACAAGATCCCAATGATGTATGTAACTGTACTGTATACCTAAAATGTACCAATAAACTCAATGAGAAAAAAAAAAGAAAACCTTTTATTGGCTATAAAGATCGATGGGTCTGATTTGTGTGTGCACATAATATACTGTGATTGTTTTCCTCACTACCCCCTTGCCTCGCATTCCCCCAAAATTTCACATTCTGGGTGTGTGTAACTCATAGTATATTTAATATATTTTTAGCATATTCATCTCCCCATTCCCGGTCTTACTCCTGCCGCCTTCCCCTTGTTCCTTTCCTCTTGTCTAGTAATAGTCTCCCTTCTATTTTCTTGTTATCTTTTTCAGATTCCACATATTAGGCAAAACATGCAATGTTTGAGTTTGGATAATTTTGTTCAACATGATGGTCTTCAGACCCACCCATTTTCCTGCTTAAATGACATAATTTTGTTCTTTTTGGTGGAGTAACACTAGTGTGGATATGTACTGTGTTTTTTGTTTTTATTCACGTTGACAGGGTACTCATGCTGGTTCCATATGTTGGCTATTGTGCTGCAGTAGACAGATAAGAGTGTCTAAGAGTGGTGTAGCTGGATGAAATGGTAGATCTAGTTTTCATTTTTTGAAGAATCCCCTACTAATTTCCATAGTGGCTGTACTAATTTACATTTCCAGCAGCAGTATAGAGGATTCCTTGAACTCACTGTGTAGCCCAGGCTGATCTTGAACTTGAGGCGATCCTCCTGTCTCAGACTCCTGAGTGCTGGGATTACAGATAGGTACCACTATGCCTGGCTCAATTTATTCTTATCTTGGAAGGTCTTCATTTCTCCTTCAGTTTTGAAAGATAGTTTTGCTGAATATGGTACACTGGGAAGGCAATTTCTTTTTCAAGGCTTGAAATAAATCATTCTGTGCTTTCCTAACCTTTAGGGTTTCTGCAGCTATTTTGATAGACTTGCCTGTATAAGTGACTTGGTATTTCTCTCTTGCAGCTTTCAATATTCTTTTCTTGTTCTGTACCCTTCCATTTTAACTGTATTTTGACATAATGAGGTTCTTTTCTGGTCATGCCTGTTTGGAATTCTAACTGTCCTTTTACCTTGATGTCCATATCTTTCCCAAGATTTGGGAATTTTTTGTTATTACTTCATGAAATAGTTTTTCTGTGCCATTAGTCTATCAGAGCTCTCTTCTAAAATAAAAATGTGCAAGTTTGGTCTTTTAACTTTATAAACCAGTCCTTTGAATTCTTTGTCTAGCATTACATTCACTGAACTATCTTTGCTTTTTTTTTTTTTTTTTTTTTTTTTTTTTTTTTTGGTACTGGGGTTTGAACTTGGGCCCCTTGAGCTTGTGAGGCAGTCACTGGAACCACTGAGCTAAATCCCCGGCCCCTTATCTTTGCATTTTATTCTCAACAAAACTATGGACATTTCAGGGAGTCATGTAGCTTTGTTTTTTTCAGACTTTTTGAATTTTTGTATTAATATGTGTGCACCTGTAAGACTGGATATTGTCTTAGTTACTTTCTTGTTGCTGGAATAAAATACCTGACACCCACAAGTTTTTTTTTTTTAAACTCACAGCTTATAAAAGTTTCAGTTCATAGCTGGCTCCATGGCAGGGTGGCCTGGCAGGAGAGAAACAGTCCATGGTATGGCAGGCAGGATAATAATAAAAATAAAATGGAGAGTTGGGAAAAGGGAAAAATGGAAAAATAAATAAAAAATTTAAAAATTGAGAGAAAAGAGATAATATCCAACTGAATAAAAGAGTAAATACAATTAGGTAAAAGTAACAACAAAAAATGAAAAAAAAGGAGGAAACCCCCAACCCTCAATATAAAAAAACAAAAAGAAATGAGTGAAAAAAATTCCTCCACATTGAAGCATTTGAGTGGATATTTTCTTTCCAGGGTTTGCGACCGGAATTGTGGAAAGAATTAAATTAGTAGCCAAGGTACCATTAGGCCCCCTTAAAGCGCATCCAGCTGTGAATTCATCAGTGGATTAACACATTCCTCCCAGCTTGAACCACTGGTGACACATACACGACAGTCTCATCAGATGGTTGTACCCACTGGTGATATGAACAGGTCTAACCACTTTTATTGGTCTTTTTACTATTAACAACAAAAAGCCTGAAAATGGACCAAACCTAGTTAGTTGCTTGAATTTAAATAATTAATGCCCAAATATAAATAGTAGCATTATTCATTCCGATTAAAAATATTATTTCTTAAGGAGCTGTATGTAATATGATGTCTAGTCTGCTAAATCAATATGTTTCTTTGCATTACTGTAATTAGGTTTTATGTTTCCAGGTTTTTTGGTGATCAATGTATTTGTATGATTATTATAAGGTGTAAACATACAAGTGGTTCTTATTATTTGTTTTGATTTGTTTTTGGTGCTGAGGATTAAGGCTTTCTACTGGGGGACTTTTTTGTTTTTGTTTTTGTTTTTTTGGTACCAGGGATTGAACTCAGGACCTTGCGCTTTTGAGGCAGGAGTGGTGCCACTGAGCTAAATGCCCAGCCCTACAAGCGGTTCTTTTTATAAGTCCATTTAACAAATTATAAACCACAACAATTTTCAAAATTTATGGTTTTGCTGTATTTTTGCTTGTACTCATAAAAATTTTTGATTTGGCCATAATGCCCACAAAAATTTTTTTTTTTGTAAAAGTTCTTACACTTAGGGTTATACTGGAATAATAACTATCCATATAATGTGTCTTGTTCCAGTAATACACTGTTCAGGGCTGGGGATTTAGCTCAGTGGTTCTGCTGCCTGCCTTGGAAGAGCAAGGTCCCAAGTTTGATCCCTGGTACACGTACACACACACAGATTTTCCAATCATAATTCTGTTCATTAATTTCAAACCAACATGAGAATGCCCATGCATCAGGGGGTTTGTACTTCTTCCAGTTCAGACAATCACAGGTGTAACCAGTAGGCCAACAATTTATATAATTTTATCCCATATTTGTGCTATTTGCATTTGACATATTGGCAAAAATGCAGCTATCCTCACCATGAAATTATACTTTTGTCTGATACTACCTTAAGTGGCCAAATAACTAAAAGATCACTACTAAGAACACAGAAGACATTGAGGAGCTTTGTCATTTCAGTAATTTCCAGAAGAGCCCTCAAAGCAATTTACAAAGCCACTTGCCACAAACACATACACAACCAGGCAGCAATACACAAATTGTGTCATTTATGCTTCCCGCTTATCTCTTCTCCCCCTATTTCTTTCCTTACCCTCCATTTTCCTCTCCTGTTTGTTTGCTAACCTAATACATTTTGTTTTGTTTCAGTATTTCCTGAGTCAGGATCTCATTTTGTAGTCCTGGTGGCCTCGAACTTGCAGGGATCCTCCTGCCTCAGCCTCTGGAGTGCTGGGATTACAGGTGTGCATCCACCAGGTCCAGCCAAGGCTAAAAAAATTTGAAAGGCTTTTCATAGCTTGCTCAGGAGGGCCTTGTTCATTTTCACAGAAAAAGTATCTGCAGTGGCAAATATTTGAAAATAAAACATTATGCAACAGAACTGAGAAACAGCCATATTAGAAATAGGAATGTGGAGAGCAGTATAGAGTGCAAAGAAACGGGAATGGGGATGTGCCGCCATGCCCAGTCTAATTTTATAGACTGTGCAAATTGGTATGAACATAACGTTAATAGACAATTCTACTTTATAGCTATGCCTTTTATAGAATATATTTCATTTCATAGTAAAACTGCAGTGCCTTCACAGGAGGAGAAAAACTCCAAGACAGTTGCCAATGAAAACATTGGCCAGTGCTGCATTTTTGGAGGTGTGTGTGTGTTTGCATATGCAAGGTGCCCGGGTGTCACAACCAAGACCGTGTGTGTGCTAGGAGAGCACTCTACAGGGAGCCATATCCCCACCGTATTTCTCTACTCTGGAATCACTGCTGTACAAACTGCTCTCACTGGGAACTTTCTAAGGGAGAGTAATTTCTAGAATTTTGTTGGTTGTTTTGTTCTTTCCTTTCCTTTAGGGGTTCCAGTATCCCCTTCAAAGAAAAAAATCCCCTAGTGACCTAACTTCCCCCAAATAGCCCCCACTTCTTTAAAGGTCCCATGACCTCCCAATAGCACACTGGCTGGGAACCAGGCTTCTAACACATAGACCTTAGGGAGACATTTTGTCATGCCTGACCCGAGTGGGACGTTCTCAGCAAACACACCACCCTCCACAAATAGGAAACCACTAAAGGGCCATGCTGCCCTTAGTAAACAAACCAGATGGCCATAAAGAAAATTTAGGAGAGGGCACTTAATCTCCCCAGCACTGGAAAGTCTGATGTCATTTACACACCTGCAGTGACCGTCCAGGGAACTTTTGACCCCAAGCATGCCATCCCAGCTTCCTCAGGATTACCCCCATCCCCAAACCCTAGAAAAACTTTTCTCTGGCCGATTGCTGACATCTTTCTCTATTTCAGCCTGTCTGCATACAGATAGAATAAACCAGCCTTTTTGCTTACATAAAGCTTGTCCGCGTAGTGCCTGGTACACTGTTTGTACAACGTTTCAGGTTCAAACTACAGCAGTTTGTGATATTTAGTTCCAGTCCATGTAGTGGACTTTCTGAATTCCTCCTGTTGTGAGAGTGTGGCACAGGAGAAAGAGAGTAGTTTGGGAAACAGATATCTAATGTCAGTTCTATCATTAAGTAATTATGGAAGATTTCCTTTGTTTCCAGACTTAGATCACTGAAATAAATGGGTTTGGACTGAATGAATATCCTTCCGGCTCTATGATTCTGTTTCACACCAGAAAATATATGTAAGGGTTAGGTAATATGAAATATATAATAAAAAAATCCCAATTTTAGTGGTCAAACCCTTTATCCCATCATACGGAAAGTGTGTATATATTCTGCACACACACACACACACACACACACACATATATATACATATTTTTTTTTGGTACCAGGGGATCAAACTCAGGACCTTGCCTTGCCAGGCAGGTACAGGCGCCTCTGAGCTGCATCCCTACCATCCCCCCAGCCTTTCTTTTAAATTTTATTTTGACACAGTCTCCCCAAATTTCAAGGCTGGACTGAAACGCCTGACCTTTCTGTCTCAGGCTTCTGAGTACCCGAGATCACAGGCATGCACCGCCACACCTGCCTTCCACTGCTTTCCCGAAATCCTTTCTCCCGGAAGCTCTCCTTGCCTTCTCTCCTGG